TGTTAATAATATATAAAATGCTGGTAAACATTCATGACATGTTAGCAATATGAACTGTTTTAATCTATTAATGTAAGCTTAGGATATACAGACAAAATTTAGTCTTGTTGCAAACTGCTTAAACATTATTTCAACCAAAAGCACATTTATAAATCTGTAAAAAAAATCTAAGCTAAAAGTAACTTCCTGAACATATGGTTAACAATAGTCATCTTTCTTCTAAGAGCACAAAATTTATAAACTGACCACTTGAATACAATTACTACTCATAATTCTGTCATTCAAACCTAAGATTTTGTTTTTATAGCTACATTATTTTACATACATTTTTAGTGGATTCTTCAGATATCATTTGACTCCATGTTAATTCCTATCAACATAATAAATATTCAAACTGTATGCCAAAATAAAATATAAAAACTGCCCACTTTTTTAAAGTTTAACTTATTTCTAAGAAATTAACTGAAATACAAAATCTCTGAATAGAAAAAAAAACCCTACCTGATTTTTGATATTACATTTTAAGTGTTTTGAGACAGTAAAATATGATTTATAAAAGCTAAGCAAACAGTAAAATTTCATTGGAAACAAAGAAAAAAAAAACATACTGAACTGTTATGTAATATTGGACCTTCTACGAAGCTGTGAATGCGAGACACTTTTCACAAATGAAAAAAAAAAAAACAAACTTACAGCTACAGAAATGTGGTTCTGCTGAGAATACCATAGACTGAACATGTGAGCATAGAAGTTTTAGAGAACATGTTAACAAAAAGAACACATTTACAATAATAAATTAGTTTGGTTTGCTTTATTTTGTTCTATGGCATATCAACCTCAATGGGTTATTTAATGCCAACAACATTTTTAGGATAGATTCGTATGAATAGTATGTATTCTTTGGTTTGGATTGGTTTGGTTTATTTTGTTTTATGGCATATCAACCTCAATGGGCTATTTAATGCTGACAATGCTGTGTTTCCTTTTTCCTCTTGCCTTCAGAATGTCCTGTGAGTGTCAAGTTCTCTTTCTTCATTCTATGCCAGAGAAATCTCTAATTTATTAGCTTCCTGGGTAAGACGTTAAACTACGTCCAGCAGCAAGGCCTCTGATCAGGAGTTTTTGAGGAGCATGGAACCACCTCTTAATTGCTGGTGTTCTCAAGTCCACCCTGAGCCGGTGTGGTAGCACCTGTTAGGGTCCCAGCTATGGGCAAATAGTTAACTATTACCAGCAATACAATTTTGAAGGAAATCTAAACAGATTTTTCACAAAACAAAACCTCTTCTTGCCCCAGCTATGGGTTAATTAGTAACTTGTATCACTAAACCATTATTCAAAAATAAAATTACATACAAAATATTACATAACCTACAGAGATTGATATGCAGCTAAGCAAAAATAACCAACCTTTTTATTTTTGTTTCTATATATATATATACACCAAGTGAAACAGCAAAGATGTCCATCCCACAAAATGTTTAGTATCTTAAAAAAAAAAAAAAAAGAAGCACTAATTGAGTTTATTTTTCCAGCTTTTCATGTAATACATTTAGCCATCTTGACATCATTTGTCTTAAGAATCACTGAAAAACTCAGATAGAAAGAGAACAGTTCTGTAACAATAAAATATCTGTAGAAAATCTAACAAATATTTGAGCTTAATGACTTAACTTAAAATATTGCAATAAAAATCCCGTCCTGGGTATGACGATAAAATACATCTGACAGCAAAACCTTTGATCAGAATGTTTTGAGGAGTGTGGAACCACCTCTTAATTGCTGGTGTTCCCAGGTCCTCACTGACCCAGAGTGGTAGCACCTGTCAGGTGCCCAGTCATGGGCAAATAATTACCCCCAACACACCCCAAAAAAGGGGTCAAAACACTATGAAAGTATAAAAATAGGTTTTTTTACAAGCAATACATTTTTGAAAATATATATTACCAGCAATATATTTTTGAAAAAAAATACTACCAACAATATATTTTTAAAAAAAGGGTTAGGAGCCAGAAAGAAAGATATGGAAAGAAGTTAGTATTTATGAAGGAGGAAGAGTTCATTCTATCTACATAGGTCACCATAACAATTATACCTGCAATCATCTTCCCACAGGGACTCAACACAGAAGCCTACATCAAGTGCCTTGAGGAAGTAGTGCTGACCTGGGACAAGAGAGTGACTGCTTGAGGAAGTAGTGCTGACCTGGGACAAGAGAGTGACTGCTTGAGGAAGTAGTGCTGACCTGGGACAAGAGAGTGACTGCTTGAGGAAGTAGTGCTGACCTGGGACAAGAGAGTGACTGCTTGAGGAAGTAGTGCTGACCTGGGACAAGAGGACTGCTTGAGGAAGTAGTGCTGACCTGGGACAAGGACTGCTTGAGGAAGTGACTGGAAGAGTGACTGCTAGTGCTGACCTGGGACAAGAGAGTGACTGACCTGGGACAAGAGAGTTGAGGAAGTAGTGCTGACCTGGGACAAGAGAGTGACTGCTTGAGGAAGTAGTGCTGACCTGGGACAAGAGAGTGACTGCTTGAGACTGAAAGTAGTGCTCACCTGGGACAAGAGAGTGACTGCTTGAGGAAGTAGTGCTCACCTGGGACAAGAGAGTGACTGCTTGAGGAAGTAGTGCTCACCTGGGACAAGAGAGTGACTGCTTGAGGAAGTAGTGCTCACCTGGGACAAGAGAGTGACTGCTTGGGACAAAGGGCGACTGTGAGAGTAGTGCTCACCTGGGACAAGAGAGTGACTGCTTGAGGAAGTAGTGCTCACCTGGGACAAGAGAGTGACTGCTGGAAGAACCTATGTCTGGCAAAAGGACTCTGCACCATGCCAGTCATGGCTTTCAGACAATTTCTTCGATTACATCTCCCCTTACATTTAGCCACCTATCCCACCAGACTGCAACCCCCTTGATTATTATGTGTAGGATGCAATTGAGCAAGATACCAACAAAACTCCTTGTAACACCAAAGATAAACTGAAGGCAAGGCTTATGGCAGCATTCACCAACTTAAACAAGGAGACAGTTTAGAAGAGTTGCAGGAGATACCAAAGTCATCTGGAGGTCATAGTTGAATCCATTGGAGATTTTATTGAATAAATTTACTGTGTAGTGATTTCAAGATATTTTTGTGTAATCTTGGTAAATATATCTGCTATCTGAAGTCTGTGTTATTTTCGTTTTTGCCGTATTTAGGTGAGAATTTATGATATCAATCTGTAAAATCTCTTGTTTATATTTAGCTGCAAACTTAGATGGAAAAATTTTCCATTCAGTTCCAAGCTTTTAACAATCTAGAAGAGTTGTTCATAGGAACTATAAATAGTAGCTGGCTTCATTTTTTATTTTTTTTTTTTTTTTATTTAGAATTTATAACCAAGAGTTTTATCAAAAATTAAAATTATATTTTATCACTGATTTCCTGACCTCAGTTTATTTGTATTTCTTCATTCGATTTATGTTTAGGTTGGTTAATTTAATGACATATCAAAATTTTATAAGTTTTATATGACAAAAATCAAGATGAGTTAATAGATATGTAGAGACATAGGTTTGGTATACACTCAAATCAAGGCAGACATTTTTCTCTATTTAGAAAAGGAAATCATGGAGAGCCATGACTGCCAATGAAGAGATTTAGCATCAAAAAGAAGATATATAACTAAGAATAATGATCATGAATAAAATAATATATATCGTATAAGAAAGAGAGAGAGGAAATAATATTTTCCTAACAACATATAAAATCATAATAACCGAAAAGTAACAGGTACTAACATTTAGTATATTTAAATAGTTTTTGTTACAGTGTAACCCGGATATAAGAGAGTTGTCAGGACCAAAGAAGAAGTCTCTTATATCCGGGTTTAGTCTATTTTGTTTAGGTAAGTATGGGAACACTTTGGGACCAGAGAAAATCTCTCTTATATCCGGGTTACACTGTATATGGTTAGGCTCAACAATTTAACATTTATTAATTCTTGTGTTATTTAGTGTTAAATACAAATCTTTTAGGACGAAACATCAAAAATGAATTAAAAGATTTTTTTTTTTTTTTATTCATGGTCAGATATAATTTTGTCTGGAACAGATGAAAATTTCATTAGAAACAGAGAAATGAATGTTGAACTGTTACGTATGTAATATCAGTCCTCCTATATGGCAGTGAATTCTGAGCAATTTCCCCAGAGATGAAAAAAAGTTTTGAGGCAACAGAAATGTGGTTTTATAGAAGGATATTAACAATATTATGGATTGAAAATGTTAGCAACAAATGGAAACTAAAAGAACACATATACATAAAATCAGTAACAGGCAATTAAAATTTCTAGGGTACATAATGAAGAAAAAGTGTTTGGAGAATTTGATACTCACAAGACATACTGACAGCAAGAGGGACAGAGGAAAACGGCAAATAACCTACCTAGCGAGTTTGTTTAAATGGTTGGTAGAACTAGTATTAGGAGTGATAGCAAAAAGAAGTCTTTCCATGAGCTACAAAGGCCAAGAAGTTGTGGAGAGCCATGATTGTACATAAGAATAATTGAGGAATTAATTTTGAATATATATAGCAAGATGAATAATTACTCTGATGAGCTGCTTTGCTGGTTCCCAGGCTTCATGAATTCAGGCGTCCTACGAGGCTGGCATCCCGCTCTCATCCTTTCATTGTTGAAACTGTTAAAATGTAGCCGTGTCTTCTACTCAAATAGCTTCATATCTCGCACCTCTCGCCTGTGGAACTCCCTTCCCTTTTCCTGTTTCCCTGAGAGCTATAATCTCCAACTATTCAAATGTAATGTCAATAGACATCTCCAGTTGCCTTGATCTATCCACTATCACTCCTATCTACTCTCACTCCAAATCCTATGTAACCCCTTGCATGCTACTGGCTTCCAGCTTTGCTTGAGGTGAAATGCTTATATTAAAAAAAAAAAAAAAAAAATTCAAGCCAAAGTAAAATAAAAAAAACTGATTTGCAAAATAAATTTACTTACCCGAGAGGAGTATGTGTATTGGAAAGGATAAGAAATCTGTTTATTTAAGTTTTCATAGACAGTGGGGACAATACGCAAAACATAGTCATATGTTGCAGAGGCTGTAAATAGATAATGAGAAATTAATTGATACTTAAAAGCAAATTTCTAAAGTATATAATGTAATTTTCTTATATGTATACACATTTATTACTCCAACCATTATTCTTAGTGGATATCCATATTTGAAATAGATGCCCCATTTGTATCATAAACAATGTGTATTTCATTAAGTTTTTTGAGTAGTTACACGTCTACTTATCTCTCATTTGCATATCTGTCTTTGGGCAGAGTGCGCTCAGCAGTTTCTCTCTCAAAGGACAGATGGGCAACTGAGGAAGATAATACTGAAGAGGTGCCCAGCTCTGGGGAACAGCTGCCCGAGGCTGAACCCTCCCATTGCACCAAGGCCAGCGCAACCGACAGTTGCGGGGGCTGAGGGTAATTTTTGTTCCTGTCCCAGACGTATGTGCTTGGGACCCCACCTACAAATAGATCTTGTGTCACAGATAAATACCATGTGTATTTCATTTATTGGCCTGTGCATTTGAGATTTCCTAATAAAGAAAATGTACTCTCTGACATATCTATACAATAAATGCAAATGTCAATATGTCATATGTTTTCAATTAAAGGGACACAACTCTCTAACTTTCAATACCTCATCTTCTTTTTCTATATAATAAATGCAAATGTCAATATATCACAATTTTTCAACTTTATTCCTAGAGACTGTAGCCCAACATGTGATACCAATTTGGAATCAGGCTGACTCTGAGAGAAAATTAAAAAGTTCCAGGCCAGATCCACAATTCTTAATTTTGGATTACCAAGTTTTCATTTCTGTGATTGGGTTGGTGATTTTTTTTCTAACGTGATTTTTGCAATAATATTATTTGTACAATAACAAGTTTTATAATTGGAAATAAATCTGGGGAGAATGAAAATTAATTATGAAATCTAGCAAAAGTCACCTATGAAATAAAAATAATAGTTTGTAAAAAAAAACATTTCCATAAAGTAAGGACCTACATATATCAAATTGTCTTTAAATTAAGTGGCGACAGAATTATCGTTGAACTTTTAAAAGCTTAAATATTAATGCAATATTAAATGCAGTGATCAATTTTGAGTTCTTCTGCAATTTATTGTTGCTATCATATCTACTCCTTCCTACCTATTGTGGTGAAGGTAAAAACAAGAGCTCTCCGCAGGAGCTAGCTTAAATACCACCCAATAGGGTGGCTTTTAAGCTAGTTATTAATATTTCTCAGGTGGATTTCAAAGGCCTATAGAGATAGAAGTAATGGAACACCGTTTAAAATAAAAACAGTGTCTATTTCAAATACAGGTATCTACTAAAACTAAAGCTTGGGGTAATAAAAAATTCAAATTAAAAATAAATCTATTAATTCTTTAGAAAATGTATGCATATATACAAAGGTACTTTTCATAAAGCACTGTTTTTATATTATTCAACATGAAAATTTTTACATGTAACTTTTTTTTTTTTTTAATCATTTCACCCCAAGCAAGATGGTAAAACCACTAAAATGCAAGGGGGTTACTGAGAATGAATGAAACTGAGAAAATGTTATCAATTAGAAAGGACAATAATAGAACAGTCTTTTTAAAAAGACAGATTATGATTGATTTTGCATTTAAATTTTTAAAGACAGTGCTGGCTTACAATTCAGCACCGTTTACTGAAATATATGTGTAAGCAAGTATATGCACATGGATATTTGTGTTGATTAATATATATGTACACATATTTAAGTTTGTCATTTGTATACAGATCGATAAGGAAATAAAAATGTGTGTGTGTGCATATATACATACATACACTGTTATCAATTTAGATGTATGTATGTATATATGTATGTTACTAAATACACAGAAAGATATACAAAACAAGTCAAACACACATTTCTGACTTTACAAACACATACATAAAATGCATACACTGAGAGGTTTAACAAGTCTGAAGGTCATAATAAAAATATAAACCTAATTTTAACTTTGTAAAAAAAAAAAATAAGCATACAACATACTTACCTTGGAATAAAAAAAAACTTTTTAATATGCAAAAGCCGAAGAGTTATGACTGACTAAAAAGAATGATTTTAAAAGAATGTTCAATCACTTATGTGCCATGCATGATACATCGATACATGACTGATGAGGCAGATTTTTTCCTGCAGTAGGTTGCCATTTCTTTCTGTGGTAGACTAGTTGCCATCCAAGGCTATAGAACCAGGTCTGTCCTGCTATTTACCCATAGCTGGTGGGGAGAAAAGGATTCATACCTTTCCCAAGGGCATTAGCATGTAAGTGAATGTAATGGATTCAAATGGAATTCGAACTCGGCTCTCCGATTCCTTAATCCAAGCCACCATCAAAAGAATGTTACCTCTAACAAAACAAAAAATGTTTAAAGAGATTTTTATATGATTGACATACAGGTATCAGACCATTTATTAGCTTCCAGAAAAATGCCTATTTTTTAAAATGACTACTTTTGAATTTGGTGGGCTTTCTTGTAGTTCAGTACTTAGTCACTTTATAAGAATAACCATGGACTTTTCACAAACTTGACAGATTAACAATGATTAAAAATGGCTTCATGTGAATGAGCCATGTATGTCTTAAAGATGATCATTTATCAGAAGTAAAGCTTTGCTAGCAAATAACAGAAACTACATCATTTGATTACTTCCAACAGCACAATGGGTAGCACATGTAACTAAAAGAGAAAATGATATAATCAAGCTGTTAACTTTCCACACTACCAAAAACAAAAGCTTTGAGAGGAAACTGCTATCAGTACTAGAAAAAAAAGCAATAACAGTGGACTTGAGAAGTCAGATTTCCTGAAAATAGTGCTTTAAGAAAAAGATTTCATAAATTTCAACCAACAATAATACTAACTGTATCTGTCTATATCTCTGCGATGAGGTATTATGATTACTTGCATCATTTACATTATTCTGACTGTTATCCATATTTTCATTGCCATATTTCACAATGTATCAGACATCAAATGATCCGGCCTTCTTCAGGTGATTGGAATTTTGAACCAAACCCTTTATTTCATCCACCAGGGTAGACTGTTCTAGTTCCACTGGGCCATGTGTCCTTGAAGACACATGGGTCAGTGAATAGACATTGGTTAGATCCAGTGTCTAGACCCAAAGAGTTGTGAGTTCAATACCAGGCCATATCAGAACTTGAAGAGTTGAGTTAAAAGAAAATAACTCTTCAAGAGGTATGGCATGTGGAACTAGAACAATCTACCTCAATGGATGAAATAAAGGGTTCACTTAGGGTTAGGAGTTCTGTGGTGTAACACAGTCTAGCATTGGGAGTTATTTTGGAAGTATGTGGTATCACTATAGAACATGCAGCATGGTTTGGAAAGCAAAATGACTTTGCCCATATCAATGAAGGGTACAAACCTTACCATAAAATGGGGACTGCAAAAAGTTTAAGTGAAAACTGACTCAGCCATGGTGGCTTCATCAGGCATGTTAGAAATCATTGGAAAGAGGAGGGTGAATCTAAGAGAGTTAATGATGTGCTTGTGAAGCGACGGTTAATGACTCTTTGAGAACTTATTGAAGGGATTGAGTTGAAGCTGAACATCACATTTGTGTCATTAGAAAAGAATAGTGGATACAATTACCAGAGTGAAGAAAATCTGGAGAGGCTTCTGAACAAACCCATGAAAGGAACAGAAATAGAAACGGCTGTGGTAGATAGTCAGATTAAACGGAAGATACTCCATGACATGTACCATTTTAGACAAGACAGAACCCTGTTCTTGGCTAAAAAGGTGGATCCCAGCATAACCAAGAAGGCAATCAAGGCAGTGGTGGAGAGATGCAGCAAGTTTCACTCCATAAATCTGGCACCAATTAGACATATAGCAGGTGAGCTTCAGGTGGAGAAAGATTGGGCCCATTTGGCCATTGACATGATACATTATCAACAGAGAATATACCTGTTAATGATCGATTGTCAACTCAGGCAATTGATTTATTGAGGGAAATCAGAAAATGGAATTGAGATAGCAAGGGTCCTTGAGGTTGGGGGTGTTGGAAAGGAGTCCAGTAACTGAAGTGCTGATAGACAATGGCACTGCCTTCTGCTCAGCAACCTTGAAGGAGATGTTAGAGAAGTGGGGCATGGGGTGTTTCTTTAGAGTAGCTTACAGGTCAAGTGGGAATGGCTGTGTTGAAAGACATCAGGCAATTAAGTCTGCATCCGAAAAGATTCAAATTTTGCCACAAGAAGCTGTCTTTTGGTATATGTCACCCAAAATGGGCCAGAATACAGATTCTGTACTGCAGAGAGCAATCTTCAAATATGAATGGTGGCATGCAAATGCAGGATCAAGTGTCACAGGGGAGAAACCAACTAATATAAGAATTGAAGAGGAAGTGTGGGTTAAACTGCCTGATGCTAGCTGCACCACCTGCAGGGAAAGAGGCACAGGGACTTATATTCAAACATTGGACAATGTGTCGGTTGACAGTATTCCATGACATATTCTGGATATGTGACGGGTTATCAAATATGAAGCCAATGACCATAAACAGAGAGAGGACCATCAAGCCAATGACTGACTGAAGTGGGGACCATCAAACTGAGACTGTGCAAAGATCACAACAGGAAAAGCGTCCTCCTCATTGAACAAGTGACTACATCATGGCATATGTGATGATATAGATCAGTTGGGGGAGGTGAGGGCAGTCGTGTGGTTGGATGGAATCATGAGGAGGGACCATATATCTATCATCCTGGTGGGTGATTTGTGATTTCCCATTATAAAATCCATCCTGGTTAAGATGATAAACTATGTCCAACAGCAACACATCTGGATGTTTTGGGGAGCAGGGAATCCCCTCTTAATTGCTAGTGTTCCCAGGTCCACCCTGACCTGGTGTGGTAGCACCTGTTAGGGTCCCAACTATGAATAAAGAGTTAGCCCCCCCAAACTGGAGTCAAAACACTATGTAAGTATAAAAATTGGTTTTAATACCAGAAATAATTTGTAAAA